ATGACATATAGGTGGTTGAGATCACAACACATGCGGCGTTGAAAAACAAGGTGAATCAGTCAAACGGGCACAGGGTTGGAGAACGAGGTGGGACCACCCGACCATTCAACCATGTAGCAAGTGTCTTCCGTAGCTCATACGTAAACCTCTAGAACCACAAGTCAATGGGTTTCGGGCGCTGCTCTTTTTGTTTCGACATGTGGGTTACCATGTGTAGTCACGGTCCAAAAAGGCAAGTTTGAGTCAGCACTAAGTCCAATGCTTTGGCATCTTTCTGAGTCTATAATTCAACTTTGTGCATCTCAGCTGTCCAGAACGAAGCTTTTGACCTTGCGGTTTTTCCATGAGGGTACCCACTTTTGGTGGTCGGCTTTAAGGGGAAACCAAGAGGACACCACCCATTTGGGGGTCCTCGAAAAAAGACACACCTATGTCGGGCTGTCTTTTTTTTGTCAATGTCCCAAAGGTCAACGCCTTTTATTTCCAGATCACCAAGGGGCAAGTTTCATACGGAATTCTGTTTGGGGCGATCAATCCACCCGACTCCACCCTACTCGTAGGGAAAATCATTTGGGGATGGTGGACGGTAAGTCTTTGTCTCAAAATCGGGGAGCCCTCTAAATGGATTTTGGGTTTGGCTTTTGGTTTCCCTGAATAAGAAGATGGCCTCAAAATAGACGCCCCGCAAGCCTTTTCAACCCCTAAAAGGGAGCCAGCAACAGAATCGACTCGGAAGCTGGCACTTTTTGTGCGTGTTGCTTTCCCTTACGCCCACAGGGTTTCCTTCATTTCCGTTTTTGGAACCTCCAAAAGTGGCAGTTTCAATGGATCCCACAACAAAAATGGCAACTTTTCAAGGGGAAGTTCGGTGTCCCCTGACCCACCAAGCCAGCCCAGATAGGCTCTGGAGTGGTCTCCGGGGCGGCCCTGAGGTAAGTTTCCGCAGGGTTCTCCGCACGGGGGCGGTTCCAAGGAGGGTTCCGCGAGTGTTTCGGGGAGGGTTGGCGGATGAGGCAAGGTTCCGCAGGGTTCTGCGAGGGTTCCGCAACGGTTCCGCAACGGTTTCTCAAGGGTTGCGCAAGGGTTCCTTGGACGCACGAGCAGGGTGCCACGAGGTTTCGGCGAGGTTCCGAGGAGGAGGTTCCGTCAAGGGTTTTGGGGCGGTTCTGGTTCTGACGAAGATTCTGCGAGGGTTCCGGGGATGCGCGGAACCGAGAAAATTCTGCAAGGGTTCTGACAGTGCACGGGTGGCTCCGAGCAGGATTCCGCAAAGGCCCGTCATGGGTTTTTTAGATTTTGTGTGGTGCCAGGTGACGACTCACAAGCTGGATGCTTCATGGATTCTCTCGGTTGGGTGCTCCGTTCCTTGGTTTCCGTCCCATGCAACAGTTTTCGACCTCCATACTCGGTTTAACATGGAAGCAAGACACCCACCATTTTTTCAGGTAGCTTCTGGTTTGTGGGTGAGACAGGTTGCGCCGTTAATTTGCTTCCAATGATACAAATGGGGGGCTCGTCTTTCTTTGGCATTGGTGGACCCGGCCAAAATGGAATTGAGTTCTTCTTTTGGTTTCCTTTTAACACCAACTAAAAAGGAACCCCTCAAAAAAGAGACACCCACAGATGTTGCTGCTGTTCATAGAACAGTTCTTTCCGTTCGAAGACCGCGAAGCGGACAATCGTTTGCTTCATCATGCAACCCTGCAAACGATTTTGGACCAGTCTCCTTACCCCTGCCTTTGCACATTTCAGTTTTTGGCACAGCCACAGCCCTTTATTAACGACTCGAGGTACACCCCCCAATCATACGACTCTCTCTCTCGGCCAAGGAGCAGAGTTGTTGCGCCCAAGGCAGATCTGCGAAGTCGTGTTGAGTGACTGCCCAAAGGGAGCGGCCAAAACGGATCGCTTCCAGAAGGATCGTTTGAGTGGGTGGCCTTGGCCCTACTTGGTACAACAGGGGTTGTAGTAAGTCCTATAGAACCGCTATAGCCATCTGAGACCCAGACGTCAATCGGTTTTCAGCGCTGCTCACTTATTTTTTGCCTGACCGAAAGGAGCCGGCTTGCGAATCCCGGACAATTCTGACAACGAGTCAGTTGAGCAATCAAAGACGGGATCTGCACCACTTGGGATAAACCACCTACTTGTGTAGGATTCAGTCCATCCACAGCAGGTAGGTGAAGGTCAGGGAAATTTGAACCAACAGCTGCGCGGATATCCGCCGCTTTTGATTCTTTGTCACGGGGTTTCGGGTCCCGAGACTCCTTTCATAGTCACCAACTTTGTCCCACGAACCTCTCTCTCGAATAACATGGGTGCGTCTCTTTTTTTAGAGGGTACTCCTTTGGGAATGGTTGCAAAGGGAGCCTAAGGGACACCATGCTATTTTAAGACGCACCATATGTTGCTTTGGGGAGGACGTAGGTGGGACAATCCCAAGTTTCCCACCAAGCCAGGAGGACGGGGATGGGCTCCAATGTTACCATGTCCTCTTTAAGAACAAGGACAATTGTCCGCGGGTCATGTAGGTATGTCTCAAAATAGGGCCCCAAATGGCAGTTTTCGTTTCGGTTTCCCATTTGTTCAACCTTCAAAAGGAAGCCGCGAATGGCGCACCCCCACCTCTTTTGCATGGAAGAGCTGACGCGCTCGCAGGCATGAGAGAGTCAGAGCTTCTCGGCAGTGTCTCAGCACTCATCCATGAATGAGTAGCGCCCAAAACGGATCGATTCGGACAGGTCATTTGGGTGCCCTCCCACCAATCAACGTGGAACCTGACAGGAGGTCTTGGAAGACCATTTTCCTTGTAAAAGGGATCCCTTGTAAAAGGGATCCATGCTATTTTGTTACTTGGTGGGAGGGTAGTCCATGGTGGTGCCTTTATCAATGGGTGAACCGGGCGCTCTCACTTGTTCCCCGAAGGGTATGGGAATTCGGTCTGTCCCCTGCGAGGACATGTGAAAGTTGGGATTTGTTCCTTGGATGTTGGGAAGACTGAGCAGCTTTCTTGCGCCAAAGTTTCCTCTGCACGAACGATCGTTGAGCTATGATTCAGCGATACATTTCCCAGTCTTGGCTTTGAACTTCAACCCTTTGCATGTGAGATGCTAGCCGCTCAGATGCTTTCCCGGTAGGTAAGATGCAGACCCCAATGAAGGCTGATGACTTTGATCTGCGCTGCCTTCATGTTGCCTCAGGGCTTCTTGCTGCGCTTGCGCTTGCTCTTTAGAAAATCATGTCCGGTCCAGCTTCTTCAATGTGAAGTTCGGGGGAGAGCCCCAAAATGGGAGGGACACCCACGAAACTCACGAAGTTTCCCACGAAGAGGGGGGGGGACTCACTATTTCCCACGTCCTTCAGGGGAAACAAGCTGTTTGTGGCTCAATCGACATGCCTTTTACAGCTTGCTGTGGAGGATTCCAAAGTGGTAAGGCTCCCAGAGATTCTCGAAACACTGGCCCCTGACGTAGACAAACCAAACGAAGCTCCCAGGATGGTTACGGGGGCGCGTTCAACACGGCTTTTGCTACATATGGCCATGATTCAACTCCAATGGTACCAGTTTGGGATAGGTGCACCACTCATTTTAATCTATTTTAGTGGGGATTGGGATGTTCACTGGGGGTACTGTATATACGGGCTTTTGACCCATGGCTATATTGCATTTGAGAAGACTTTTTGAGCTCACTGATCTTCACATGTGCGTGTTCAAGATTGTACCTTGCAACTGATTGTTCCCCTTTGGTCTTCCCAAAGATTGGGTTCCAAGAGATGCCCATGCTTCTTTTGCTTCTTCTGCTTCTTCTTCCGTCGCGCCAAGGCTTTGAAAAGGGTTCACCTGTCATTGAAGCCGGGCCCTCAGCACGAAGACACGTGGGCAAAATTGACGTTGGGTGCACGCACCAAATCGCCACTAGGAAGTAGAGGTTGCTCACACACATGTCATTGGGGCACAACATAAATATAGACCTCGACTCATTAGCCACCAGACTCGAGATTTTGCCAACTGCATCCAGACACGGGGCAACCAAACTTGAGACAAGGGATTTGCTTGGCGGGTGTGTTGTTTTTGGGACGGCTCCCCAAAAGAAAGAAAGCAGGAAAGAAAGAAAGAAAGAAAGAAAGAAAGAAAGAAAGAAAGAAAGAAAGAAAGAAAGAAAGAAAGAAATAAAGAAAAGGGTCGTTTCCTTTTTGGTTCCCTGCAACCCCAAGGGGATACAAACTCCACAAAACGACGAGCCACCCTACGACCCTGGGATGACGAGGACCAGTCCATATCTCTGTCACCGGAGCCGCTTGGCTACGGTGGCCCTTGGCTTGTGCGAAGGCGGGCTTTCCTAAGTCAATCTTGGTCTATGGAGTGCCTAAGGGTGGTCCAATTGGGGGGATTCCTTGAAGCTCCCAAAAGAACCCTAGTCAACCCTAAGGAACCCTACGGAACCCTAGGTCTCTCAACTACCCCCTACCCACCTTGTACCTACCCCCCTTAGGGATTCCAGAATCGGTGGTTCTCTGCCATCCGGTTCCTCTGGTTTTGTTTCTCGGTGTTTTTGGTTGGTTTAGTTTCTACTAACTTCACCAAAGTTGAAACACATTTGGCAGATCTGGAAACAAAGGTAAGTCAATGCGGAAGCATACCGTTGGCCTTTGGAAGACTTGATTTGTCGATACCAAGGACCAAAGGATGAATAAGGACCCCACGTCATGCTCGAAGAAGGAGACTTTGGCAACCGGTACGCCAACCCTGGAATTCTTAACCGCTGCGCGTCACAGAAGTAACATCGGACATGTGTATATATATATATATGTATAGATATATGTGTGCGGAAGTGTTTGTTTGTGTTTGCTTGTATGAGGGTTGCGCAGAAAGGGACCCCTTTCTGAAGGAACAATGATGAGTATCAGGGTCCAAAATCGGGCCCCCTACTTGTTTTTTGAACAACTTTCATCTGTATTAGCATGTGAATGTGGCCGGATGGATCGAAATCCACATGCTCGCAGGCTTGCTTCGCCCAAACTATGCCATTCTCCATATAACTGAGCCAGGCTCTCAGTAAAGAAGGGCGTTTGTGAGGAACTGAAAGTTCTGGGGGGCGATCCGATCCCCATGATTTTTAACCAGCCTGCCGTTTCCCATGAGTGTTTGCTGGGTGTCTGGCAAGCAGGATCCTTGGGCAGAATGGGGGAAGTTATTTGTGTCATTCTTTCCCGGCATGTTCGCACCGCATCCTCGGGAACATGGAACGTGCTCCAGAAGTATTATGCGCAAAACAAGTATGATAAATAGACTCTCTTGTGGCGAATCGCTTGGGAAGCTCTACCTCCATTTTCCGTCCCACTTTGCGGATGGCATCCAGATACTCGAAGTGTGGTGGGGAGGTTGGCCGATACTGTGGAATTCCTCTCAATTGAGCGTCACTCGGTCGAGGTAAGTGGGTGGGTCTTTTTTTGAGGGTACCACTTCTTTTTGCGGTTTTGACAGGGGCACGAAAGGAAAACCACCATTTTGGGTTCCTCTGAAAAAAGAGATTACACCAGCATAGACCCCAGATAGCGAAGCAAATGCCAACGATTGCACGGTAGCACCTCTAACAGCACTGCACCAAGAGCACCTCAACCAACACCCCAAACAGCAAAGACCCCCCTGATATCAACCGCGGAAGCCCGCACCATCACTCCGAACAGCACCCTCAAATAGCTAGCACTCCCAGAGCACCCGACCGTCAATCTCGCAAAAATGCGCCCGCACCATCACCAGCACCTCAAACAGCACCCCAAACAGCACCTACACAAGCACCCGAAACTGCACGCCCCCTAGCACCAAGCTGTCAATCTCGCAAATCACTTTCCCTTCTTTATTAGAAGTTAGAACCCCTATAGCTTTCAGCTATCTGGGGAAAAAGAACAAGAAAGAAGCACACACACACACACCCAAGTGAAGTCTACTCAGTAGCTGATAACCAAGGTTTATGCCAACCCCCTGTTGTTTTTCCCAGGAGCTTCACGACCTACTAGGCTGAACATACCCAGCTTTCCTTGATCTCTCTCGGTCTCTCTCTCTCTCTCTCCCCAGTTGTTTTGCTAAGGCTGCACCAGGTGGCGGCACAACTTGAGAACAGAGATTTCCATATTTTCACGACTTACCTGCAACCGAGGCCGGCATCGATTACCACTCGATGCCGGCCCCAGCTTGCGTGGCAAACGTCGCAGTCGCTTGTCAGCTGGAAAAACACATGTCAGGAGTGGGAAGCCAATCTTTCCCGACTGTATTTTCGGACTTTGCTTTGGGGAATGGCCACTCGGACTGGGAAGGACCGTTCCTTCCTGGTCTCGGCAAGACAGCGACTGGCCGATCGAACAGGTGAGCCACATGACTAGACGCCACTGTACAGACTTGGCCTCAAAATTCTTATCACAGCTGAGTGGAGTTGGGTCAGGCTCTGGGATTCTAGCGGACACAACACACAGCATGGCCAGCTTGTTTGATTTGCGCCAAAGAGGAGAGGTGCCGGCCCCCAACTCTTTGGGGAAGGTGGGCTGGTAGAGTTGGTGTGCTTCGTCTCTCACCTTTGCAGCCGCTGGGTTCTGAGCCTAGGGCTTGCTTTGGCACAAAGCCGACTAACAAAAGCCCAGGTCTGAAGCAATGTCCACGAGAGGAATATGTTGTCTTAAGCAAACACAGGCGGTGGTTTGCATTGATTCACACTCAGTGCAAGATGATCCGAACTTGATTGGTTTCGGGTTTCGAATGTGAAGTCATGCCCCGGCATCGAGGCTCGGAAGCGTTTGATCTTTTCAGAGTCAAGGGGTTATGCTTGACCCTAGCTGTCATGAGTCATACATATATATATATATGCTACCCCCCTTGAAATATTCAGGTTTTTGGCCAGAACCAAGGTTTTTGGCCAGACTGGGGGTGACAAATGCCTGGAGACTCTGAAATGAACTGACTGGACGCGCAACTCCGTGCAAATTCCAACCAAGCAGAAGTTAAGCTCAACGTTGAATAGGAGTTGTGTGACCGTCACTTTGGTGTGCGCGAAGTGCACTTAAAGTCACATTGGAGTATACAAAGTGCACTTTGGCAGCTCCAGCTCAAAAAGTACAACTTTTCAGCACAGGAGTAGTGCGCGAAGTATGCTTTGGCAGCTTCAATGCGCCTGTATCAGCTCTATTATTTGTTTTGTTTTTATTTTTCTTGCTTGGCAGCGAAGTTTAGCAAATCATCAACTTCGGGAAAAGGAACTCATTCCTACTTCATGTCCTCGTGGTTGCATTTACATGTTAACTCAGGTGTTGTGCATAATTCCATGTACATGCTGGTTCAGTCTATCTGATACATATTTTGCAAAGCAACTATCTCAGTTGTATGTTGCTTGCCTAAGTTGATTCAATCATCGCCAATTAACAACTGTTGAAATTCAAGTAAAGGAAGGATATCCAGTTCAAAACGCTTTCGAGTTCAAACCAAATTCAATTATAATCGTTTGCAGTTTCTTGTGCATCTCAAAAATCAACTGGACAAGATAGCTATTGTCATGGCCAAATGAACCTGGAACCAAACTCACTTGTCCTTGTCGAACCCCATGTGGTTTGAACCAAGCAAGCACTGGCCAAGCCAATGACAGAAATATGTTTTCAATCATGGACCTTGTTCTTGGCAGAAATGCTGTAACACGCAGTGTTCTTCAGCATTTGCTCAGATCGTGGCGCCCTGGATCCAAGATCGATTATACAAGATTCCACAAACATATTTTTAGAACATCCTCAATCCTGGCCCCCCAAAAGCTTGACAGTTTTTTTTAGACTCGTTGAGGATTTGCCCCCTGCATTGATCTACCAGATGTTGTATTTGAGAATCTTCCGTCCTGGCCAGCCTCCAGTCCACAAAATCCTGTAAAGGTGTCAGCAACCATTTTCCTTTTTGGCCAAATGCAGGCAGCGCAAGTGCACATCCTGGATTGAAGATTGAAGACTGAACCACTTGTTCTGGAAATCTTCAATCCATTTTTAGGACAAACTAATATGTGCTAGCACGTGCTAGCACATCCTGGATTGCAGATTGAAGATTGAAGAATCCCAGAGAGAGTTGTCAGAGAATCTTCAATCTTCAATCTTCTACCCAGGATGTGCTAGCGCGTGCTAGCACATGCGCACCCTGGATTGCCCTATGTACAGATTCGAAGATTCCCAGAAAGAATTGTCAAAAATCTTCAATCTTCAGAGCCAACATGTCAATTTCTGGCCAATAGCCTCCAGGAAAAGGGTACCATATACATATACACACGTTTGTTATGTGCGTCGGCCCCCTTTCACCTTGATTTGAAGGGAACCTCAGGACAACCACCATTTGTTGGGCGCCCTAGACACCCAGAAAATCATAGGAGAACAGTGAGTTCGGGATGATGCGATTGCGGATTCTTTGGAGGCCAGTAGCGTGGGTCTTTGGAGATGCGAAAAGGCTCCTAGGCGGGGCTATAGGGGGGATAAGTTCAGGATAAGCTCAGCATAAGCCGTATGACTTGAGTTGGGCACCCTTGTCTAGCTTCACGGGCTTTGTTAGAAGCATCAGCAAGTTGAGTCGGTCAGCCAGTGCACAACAGGCAGTCACAGAATCTGCTTACAGGAAGGGGCAGGCCACCTTCCCCCAAAAAACTTTTAGCTAGTAGCATCATGTTCAGAGCTCTTCATTCAAGGCCCGAGAGCATCTCTCAAACTCAGATTCTTGGATGTTGCAGGGCATGTGGATCCCAGACTTTTGGCAGGCAAATGGCCTCTCGCCCTGCTGGCCGGCCTGGGCGGCGCCATGGTGTTTGCGGGCCAGATGGGCTCGCGCGTCGTTCCTCGAGTGATGCGGCGAGCAGAAGACACCATGGGGGAGCTCTTCACCAAGTACTACCGGTTGCAGGAGGCTGGGAATGCGGAATCTCAGAAGGAAACGAGGTTCGTCTTGAGAGGGATTTCAACCAGAGACGTCACGTGCGCAGCAGCAGTTGCTGGAATGGCGCGGTGGGAGTTGCCGGCTCAGCCAAGAGGCAAAGTAAGCAGCGCTTAGGAAGATGCCAGGGCTTGGATTCCGTGCTTGCTTGATGCTCACCCCATGCTCTCCCCATGAGCATCGAAACACGGGTAAATGAGGTAGGGTCCCAACCAGAAATTGATTTTGATTGTTGCTCAGACAGGGAGAAGCTGAACAACGTAGCCACTATGAAACTGAGTTGACCTTTCCAGCTGAGCCAAGTCAGGAATCCTGGCGGGCTTTTTGTGAGAAGCAGATATGGGCGTTGCGGGAAATCGAGATTCTTCTAAACCATTTTTGGTGAGAAGGGATCGAATTCCCTAAGTATAGGGATGGCTCATTTCGGCGCTGGACTCAAGACACATTCGCGCCGTGCCACAGCGAGAGTTGCCGTGCTCAAGAGACATTTGCGCGGCGCCACAGCGAGAGCGCTTCGACACGCGCAATCTCCGCAGAGGGTTCGCCGAGCTCGAGACACATCCGCACGGCGCCGCAGCGAGAGCGCTTCGACACGCACGATCTCCGCAGAGGGTTCGCCGAGCTCAAGACAAAGTCGCACGGCGCCACAGCCAGAGCGCTTCGACACGCGCGATCTCCGCAGAGGGTTCGCCGAGCTCAAGACAAATTCGCACGGCGCCACAGCGACAGCGCTTCGACACGCACAATCTCCGCAAAGGGTTCACTTTTGTCTTGCAATGCTCGCAAATGAGTGAAACGCTGCGCCTGCCACAAAATTCACAGACCTGTTTATGAACATGCTGCGCCTGCCACGCATCCTATAGCAGCAGCGCGAAACATACTGCGCCCGCCGCGAAAAACGCACGGCAGTCTCACAGAATGCTGCACGCCATACAATTCTGCGGCAGAACGCAAATCCGAAGATCAGCGCGGCGCCACAGCGAGAGCGCAGTTTTGAAGAAGGGTTCGCTTCATGCGAAGCTGTCGCACGAACGACAACTTTTGGCGACAACTGCCATGGTTTTAGAGCTCCGATTGTCCAAGCGTCGTAGAAGAAGATATCACCGCGTGGCGGCCCTGCCAAAAAACGCACTTTGGTCTCAACAAAAACGCGCTTGGCACGAGGCTTCCTCAAAAAACAGACCCCGCGTCGCAGCGCGCACCTCCGTGTGACACGCCCCTGCCAGCAAAAAATGATTTTTGCTTCAAAAAAACGCGTTGCAGCTCCAGCTTGAAATTTGAGAATCGCAGCTGTAGTGCACGAAGTGCGCTCCCGCAGCTCCAGCTCGAAATTGGCATCTGACATTATGAGTGTACGAAGTGCGTTCCCATGGCACGAGGCTCGCAACTTTTAAGTCTCAAGTTGTACATAAAGTGCATTTTTGCAGCTCCGGCTGCAAAATCGTAAATGGTAACGTGCGCGCGAAGCGCGCTTGCGCAGCTCCAGGTAGTATGCGAAGTACACTTCCGCAGCTAAAATTGCCAGCCTTCTTGCGCAGCCCAGCTGCTCACAGATATGGACATGAGAGTTTTTCAAGAGAGGACATGAAAGATTTGGCAAGAGAGGTTTGCAGAGCATCATGCGCATCATCATGCGCTGCATCGCGCGCGACGTCATGCGACATCGCGCGCAACATCACGCACAGCTTCGCGCGCCACAGCATCACGCGCGCGAGAAGTTGACAGGAGAGATTGTGAAACATGATGCTAAGCTTGCTTAACGTCTATTTTTCTATTACACCCTGGGACTGTCCGCTAGGGACATTCCCCCAAATAGTCCCCAAATAACTAGGCTTTATCTGGAAACTGGCGAGGTGACACAGCAAAAACCTCTTGGGTTTTGAAGCCCTTGGATGAACGTAAAGAGACCTGACGAGGTCAGCGTCCAGATCACGTCTAGCACATGAAAACCCAAAGCAGCTTGCCCTCAACTATCCGAAGGCTCGCCCGCTTTTTGGGGTTCTCTCCTGTTTCATCCCACAAAGCGAGAACTCCTTAAAGGATGCACGACACATCCAAAAACCACCTGCTGCTGCAGCGCCCAACTCAACTGGCTATTTGGGTGATTTGTTTGATTGGGCAGGGGCTGCGAAAACTTGAGGTGAACCGCAACTTAGAGGCGGACACCAAAATCGCGACGGTCTCGGAGCTTCTAGAGATTTTAGACGACCTCGAGCGGGGCGCCAGCCAGGCATCGCGTGTGGATGGGGTCATGTGGTGTTGGGTTGGAAGGGGCGCGGCTGGGCGCATCGGCTCAGGTGCCCAGTATGAGGGCTTGACGCGCCGCCCACCCCCCCGCCCCCCCGCCCCCCCCGCCTCTTTGTTTCCCCCAACATGAGCGCAAACACGGGGGTCAGGGGGTTTGGGGAGGGGAGAGGGCATTGAATCCTTTGACTCGCCTGCGACCGTTTGGGCAAATGAAAGAAATCAGAGGGGTTTGGCCCTTATGGTTTGACTTATTTCAGGTTGGTTGCCCTTTTGAGTTTGGTCCAAAAACCCACAAAAAATATGAAAAACCTAGTTGATTGAAGGCTCGGCAAAAAAAACACCAGGGGACCGCAGGTTTTAGTCCATGTTTCCATTTGCCAGGGTTCCATGTTGAGTACCTTTTTTTGACCCACTTCCACATGATGCACGGGAGGTTCTGAATAGCTCCACATTCAGCTTTGGGTGTCGCTTTTTGTGGGTACCCCTTCTTGGTTGGCGTGTTCAGGGAAAACCAAAAGGAACACCACGTATTTTGGGGCGTCCCCTAAAAGAAGACACGCCCATTTCGTCGATGCCTATCATCACATGGGTTGTGTAAAATATAGCCCCCAAAGGCCGACCATGGCGCTTTTGAGCCCTTCGATCCCCAGGATGGAGGGACAGGTGGAGCATCTACCCTGCAGACCTTGGCATCGAAATTCGCCGCGAGGCCCGGCTCTGGAAAGAGCATCCGTGGCTGATCCGTCACTGTTTTTAGGATTCCATGCCCCGAAAGATGTGGGGTTTCCTTTTGGTGGAGAATGGGTTTTTAGGATTCCGAGGGCACAATGGGTGTGCGCGCTTTTATTAGTGGACTCCCCAAAAATGTATTTCGGTTTTCCTTTTGGTTTCCCAAAAAATCCACAAAACAGAGTGGGCACCAACTGAAAACTTAACAACCTTAGGAACCGGATGGCTGGGAACCAAGTTGTGTGGAGTGTCCAAGCCACGTGCTTCCCAAACGGCACAAAACCCTGGATGGGACTGGGCGTGTCTCGGTTTCCCTTCCCAACCCAAGGTATACCGTATACCCATATGCGGGTGGGGGGGTCCCTCGGTTCGATGACATATATGAATGGAGATCTCTAGAGGTCACTAATTCCACTAACCGGGTGGGGATGACTCATCGTTCAGCCAAAATGCTTGGTCTCAATAAACACAACCCAACAGAAAGTTGTACAAACAAACACAAATCCATGTGGCGGCAATGAAAAGAAGCGGCAAAGTTCAGCCAGAAACTTTGCTTTACAATTCCATTGCCCAGCGAATCGCACCCAATGAGACAAGCGGGTCACAATAGTGTTAAAAGCGTGTAACCAAACCCTGTACAGAAATGAGACAGGTGTTACCGCCGTATTTATGGTTTGGCACTGCCGTCCTCCCCGATGCCAATTGGGTGGCTCGTATTGTTTCCATTAACACACAAGCTCGACTTTTCGCAGGGGATTAGGCAACAGCCCAGATAAATGCCGTGGTTGGAGCTCACCCACTTTCGGTCCAAACCGCCACGGATTTCATCAAAGCGACGTGATGCTTCTCTCTTCCCCAGTTGCGTTCCTGGGAAGTCCATCTGACAATCCAACAGACTTGGGGCACCCTGGAAATGAGAAATACCCTTTGACTCAGCCACTTGCGAGCCGCACAGGATGAGCTTGGGTTTGTCTTTTTTGGAGAGGGTGCCCTTGATTAAGTGGTTTTAAAGTGAAACCAACAGGAAAATCAATCAAAGAACTAAAACCAGAAGGTTCTGGGGCGGCAACGGCATTTGGTCAAGCGAGAACCTTCTGCATTCGATTTGCCCCATTTTGGGCATTGGATTCCGATTCGCAGGTTGGAATCCATGGGCTTTGAGCGAATCAAGGCCGGCGTCAAGCGATTCGCTTACTTGGGGGTTATAGGGTCTTTTTGAGGGTGCCCCTTTTTTGGATCTGGTGTTTTATTTTTATTTCCTAGGTTTTTTTTTTTCTTTTTTACAAGGGCTGGGTTGGTTGGTTGGTTGGTTGGTTGGTTGGATGGTTGGTTGGTTGGCTGGCTGGTTGGTTGTCTGGCTGGCTGGCTGGCTGGCTGGCTGGTTGGTTGGTTGGTTGGTTGGTTGGTTGGTTGGTTGGTTGGTTGGCTTGCCGCATCCCCAGTATCACCAGCCTCACTTCTCCCGAGGGTTGATTTAGGCGAAGCGAAGGGCTGACATCCAGGCTGCTATTGGGCGGGTTTCGGGTTGACTTTGGGTGGATTTGGAGTTGGCTTGGAGCTGATTTGTGTTGGGTGTGCTGCTGGTTCAGCAGTGCAATTCAGGTGCTTTAGGAGTGTGATTACGAGAGTGTTGGTCTCGTTTAGGATTGGTTTTGGAGCGTTGCCCCCAACCACCAAAACTAGCCCACAACTCACGCGACCACATTCCTAAAGCAACCCTAAAGGCACCGCTTAACCAGCAGCACACCCAACATCTGGATGTCAGCCCTTCGCCTAAATCAACCCCAAACCACACCCTTATGAAGATCTAAGCCAGCCTAATCCTCTCCTAGCTTAAACCAGCCCCCAGCAACTGACAACTGCAATCGGAGCCAATAGGCAACCCCCGGGCCACAAAAAAAACAACAGCCAACTACTCGACATATTCATTCCCACTCTTGGTTTTCCTTTGGTTTTCCTTTACCAACCTTTGGTTTTCCTCCGAGCAAAAGGGGGTTCGGGGCTCCCTGTAAAAGACGACATGTTGGTTTTCCTTTACCAACCAACGTGGGGCTTCCCGACAACAGACGCCGCGCGAGCTCCGACTCCAGGCCAGTGGCGCTTTCGATCCTCGGCGCCACGAGGCGGCGGCCCAACGCCCGGAGGCCTCGGTGAGCAGCGGGGACATCTGCGAGGAGCTGAGGCGCGAGAGAAGCGAGCGGCGGTGCCAGAAAACCGGGGTCACGTGTTGACGGGGCCAAGGTTTTTGGCAGGTTGCGGCCAATCTTTGTGGCAGGCGGGATGACGAAAAAGGTTCTGCCGCAACTGCCAGTTGCGATCGCACTTCTTTTTTTCTCCGTGTGTGACTGTATTTTGGGGTAGAGTGTCTGGAAAAAAGCGATCGCAACGCGGCTAATTATGGTGTGTTGGGTTTGAGGGTGGTCCAGACCTTGGTAAACTACTTATTGGCACAAAAGGTGAATCTGATGTTGCTTGGTTTGCCATTGGTTAACCGGGATGGTCATCCACCTGGTTCTGAGGATCCTGGATCCTTAGTAACCATTAATTTTTTGGAGAACCACAACCATAGGCCATATAACGAGTTTTTGCCATGGCACATATGTTGTGCTTGTGTTCGATTGCGACTGTGGACCTTCGAAAGAAACAAAGGCTTGGGTTTCTTCAGAGCCCTCGTTTCCGTTTGATTTCCATGCCCCAGCTCAACAAGGTATGGGCAAAGAGAAGACATGTGGCCGGGGTTGGGCAACGTGGCTCTGGACCCCACCCAATTTCGAACGGAAACCACAGGAGCATCGGACGCTAGAGCTGTTCAAAGTGGTTGGCCCAGCCCCTGAGGCGCATATTGCATTGTTGAATGAGCCCGCGCACCCTGGAAGCTCGGTTTTGTGGATCGTGGAGAGAGCAATGCCAAACGCATTCGGAATCCCTTCAACCAAGCCTTCATTGACGTCTCTCGACAGCTCTATGCTAGAAAAGGACGGGTATCCAGCTGTTTGGATTCTGTACGGGGTTTTGGTTGCACCCCTTCAGCACTTGTCTTGGGTATTTGGATTTGTAGAGCCCAGGCCTTTTGGCACGGCAGCCAAGTTTTGGGCTGAACTTTGCCACCTCCTTTCGTCGCCGCTACATGGACAACCTTTTGCTAGGCATTTGGGACGCTAAAAGGACACCAAGCATTTTGGGCTCTACTCCGAGACACACCCCATAGGGCTAGGCGACGACTTTTCTGGGTCATCCCCACCTCAAAAGTGGAATTGGGGGAGGGGGTGAGCCCTGAGATTCCCATTATATTCCCAATATCCCTTTATCTGTCCAGTATCCCTTTTGTGGGGAAGACTAGAAGAATGGAATTGGGGGATCCGCACGGGAAATATGCGGCCGACATTCATCAGACTGCAGGTCTGGGTGGATGCTGGGGGACCGTGCCTGGGTTGCACCGTAGCGTCTCTCGGATAATTTTTCTGTCGCGGGTTCATGGCCATGGCGAGCCCACCGACTTGAGGGCAAGGTAAAACGATCTTGATCAGCTGGCAGCCGTTTGATCTTTGCAGATGGACATGCACTTGATGCGAGGGACAGCTTTTTGATCTTGCCTTTACCCTCCTCCCTTTAGGTTTCGGCTCTTCGAAAGGCAAAACGCTGCGTCAAGCGCCAGGATATATTCAGGCGCTAAGATGTCTTTTGCTAAAGCGATCTACAAAACGCGCGTTTGAGGGGTGATGGTAGGGTTTGCCTTTTGGAGGGAGCCCGCAAAATCCGGGGGGCGGGGGTGGCATTTTCCCTTCAAACCTCCTTTTACAACCCACCTCGCCTCAAAAGGGTACCCTACCTATTGCTGGTTGGGACAAGGAACTGGACGCGGCGGAAGGCCTCGAAGGCACTGGTTGCCCGTTTTGGGGTTGGTTCAAAGGGACACGGTTTATGTGTGTGACTGGGTTCTTAGTTGGTGCTCTTCGCTTGGTTGATTCAAACCAAGAGGAAAGCTAGTTGCCGCTTTGAGGCTCAAATGGACCCCCCCCAATGTTTGGACACGTCACTCGCACTCGGCTAGGTGTGGTACGTCCAGCTGTGGTCACCGTGGCTGCGTGAGAGATTGAAAAAGAACGGGTGCTTGTGGAGAATTGGGTTTCCATTCTTTGTTCCAGGACAGGCGCCGCTTCTCCTGAATGGACGTTAGGGGCCAAGTTGGTTCTGTGATACCAGGGACATCCCCACACTGAAGTGAGAAAGTGGCCATGGGAATGAAAATCCGGGCAGAAGGCCTGTCCCTGGGTTCGGCTCCAGAGGTCTCATTGAGAAACTTGAGTCGCCCCAAAGTCGCAGCCTTGAGGCTCAAAGAAATATCATGGCAGTTTGGAAAGCCAACAGGGGGTGTGTTAAGGTCAGGGGACCCCTTTTGGTTTCCCACAGAAACATAAGACAACTAAAAAGCGTGTGCATGAAGGACATTTCGTTGCTTCCCTCCCCACACCAGCTGCCTGATCGTGACATGATCAGGAATGCACAAAGACCATTCAAGCCGAACTCCAAGAGAGTGTCTAACGTGACATTGATTCCGTACAGAAAAGATTCGCCCAAACGACTGATGGAGTGGACCACATTTCCCCGCAGAGGGTCATCCATGCAGAACTATGCAGAACTGACACCTGCATGGTCAACCGGTGCAGAGAGAGACAAAGAAGGGGACATGTTCAATTTGGAGCGTGTCATGTGCCAGCAGAATGAGACAACCTGTTTTGTGGCTGCCTGTAGCCGCGCAGTTTGCCACATTTTAGCTCCACGCTTTGGCATGCTCTCATGGCGGGTCATCCGTCAGACACAGCATCATGCCCAAACCGCTTCTTGGCTTTTTGGTGTGGCAGTGCATGCATGACTCCAGATTTCAACGTCAGATAGAGAGGTGCAAAATCTCATTCTCAGAGACCAAGTTGGCAGGCTGGTTGCAGGACTTTCTTCCAAGTAAGATCCTCAGCCAAAACTTGGCGGTGCCAGAAACTGCGGGGAATTGGAGATGGTTGCTGAGAAGAACGATGGGTGAGAAGAATGGGGGGTAGGGGGAAGCGATCCTTCAAAATGGGGTCAAACCAAATTCGTACGTGTCAAAATTGGGGGGACTTCCATAAATTGCGGGTTTCTTTTGACAACTAATGGGTTTTCCATTAAACCACTAAATGTTAAACTTTTAGCAGGGGAGCAGAAAGCAACCGAGGTTTCCTTCGTTTGGCTTACCCTCCAAAACGCCCCCCAATCAGCCAGGCTTCTGGCTGCTGTGGCTTTGGCCGCTGCTTCGAGAAGGTGCACGGCGGCCGCTACGAGAGGAGGATATCTATGAGCGCCACGGACAATGAAAGCGGACTCCGCTTTCAAACGGAGTCCGTATACGGGGTTCAAAATGGGTGTTTTCCTTTTTGGCTTCGCTAAGGCAATTACAAAGGGGTTAAAGAAAAGACACACCTGGCTGACTCTTTTTGGCGGTTTTACGCATCACCTTGTTGGCTCTTCCAAGGTGAGTTTCCCTTGGGGTGATGTTGAAAGCGAAAAAGGGAGCCCCTGTTCAACGGGCCATTTTCAGGGATATCACACAAATATGGCCCCGTTTCATGGCGGCGTGACAGATCGAAAGTGACAAGGATCGAGCGAGAGAAAAACATGGGTTCAGGTCGCCATTTTCTGTGATGCCACAAGCAGCTCCTTCAAAGCGATGTCGTCATGGGGGGATGCTTTACGTGACAAGTGCCGGGTCCCAATGTTGCTTCAAGCGGTGGGTCCCTTTGGAGAGGCAGCGCGCAGGTGTCCCACAGATACTCTCGCACTTTGCGTGTTCAAAGCTCAGGGATCTCAGATTGGATCGGTTTCCGCACAACTTGTTTTGCGACCGGAAGATTTGCTTTGGGTGATCCATGTCTGCCGAGCTGGTGAAGTGTTCACCCAGAAACATCCAGTCTCGCCAATTTGCGCCACTCCGCATTGAGAGGACGGATGGACATGCTGGATACTATCTTTTCCGTTGCAGCCCCCTCTCTTAGTTGCCTCCCGAATTCGAAGAGATGCGCGTTGGCTTGGTTCGATGTGATCAGGAACCGTGGCCCACATGGCTTTGTCTCAAAGGTCCAATGTGAAATATGCATCGTGCACGGGTATTTATCACATGCATTTGGGAGCAAAATCCAACATCATCATTCTTGCTTTGCTTGGGCACGTAGGCCACATGCTGCTGTGCCATTGAATGCCAAAGCTATGGCTTTGAGTGCTAATGGATTCTCCCAGAGACCAGAGCGTGGGTATTCTCCTGCTGCTCAGGATTCCGAGCTGCTTGAGGTCGGAATGTCTAGATCAGCAATGGCACCACAAGCTGAGAAAGACTGACGCCAGCGTTTTGTGGCTGCTTCTCCGAACCTTTGGATGGAGAGGCTCAGCTGTCATTAAAGCAAGGATTTGCATGACACCTGTTCATTAAGATTAACACGATAAACAGGATGTAAGATGTGAGACTCGATGCCCAGTAGCCCAGCTTTGCACCCACAGATCTTGCCAGATGCTACTGGTGCTTGTCTCAGCAGCCTTCGGTACTCACGTTTTTTGGCATAGCAGAGTATTGAATGAGAGGAGCTTGCTGAAGAGGTATTGCGCCCTTGTTCCACACAACCAGTGGCTCCAAGAGCAACAAGTAAGGGTATCTATAGGCTAGATCGACTGCTTATTGTTCTCACCTTTTTTGAGGGTACCATTTTTCGGGAGGTTTATTGTTGGGAACCCATTTGTTGAGTACTCCTATCGAAGACACACCCACACTTGGTGATCCGCCAAGTCCTTGCAGCTATTTGTCCTAAGATTGCGGACGGCCTGATGCGTTGTCTTGGAGAACTATTGGCATGTTTGCATGCTGGTAATCAGATAGAAACAGCGGGCATTCCAGCAGCACGTTGGCTCCGCATCTCCTCTGAATGACCCCTGACGCCCCGTCTTTAAAATGCTTAAAATGCGGTGGCAAACAGGTCAACAATATTTTTACTCGGGGTTCATAGGCGTGGTCATGGACCCGTTGATGGGGAACTTCAACAACCATGAAAAGGATTCCCATTAAAAGAACCACTGCCCATGGGCCCGCAGCAGGAGTGATCATGACACACACACACACACTTGCGTGTATATCTGTGTATGTGTATGTGTGTGTGTCTTTGTGTTTGGGACCCTGTTCACCTTGTTAAGAGAAAACAAGAGAACAAGCGCCATTTGTGGGTCATATTTTGAGACACACACACACACACACCCCACCCACGCCCATTCCCAAGAAACGCCCCAAAAAACTTTAAGGGGAGGGTCCCGGTGCACGTGTTGCTAGCTGCTCAGGATACATCTTCATCTTCTTCACTTTTTCCTTCTGGTTGGCCAGCCTCTCTATGGTCCCTTTCCTCACGGACCGGCTCTTCCAGTGGCTGGCATCAGGAGACAGCCGTCTTGCAGTCCAACCTATGAGCGCAGGGGGTCAACATCCAATGTCATTTCAAGCTGACCTGTCAAAGATGGCGGGAAGTTGCGCATGCTTGGATGTCAGAAGTTTGGAGAGTCCGTTTCCTCCGGCTGTCAGGCATTTCCTCCTCGGACTTTCGAGAAGGAAAGCCCACATCCAATTCTTCGGGTCTGCAATTCGCTCGTCGCTCGGTTTGGGGCCGACATGGTCTCGTAGGAGAGCGCGTGTTAGACGGCTTGGCCTGGTCCGCGGTGCTGGTGGCCAGCGGCTCGGAGGATTCTTCGCTGGGACCTGGGCTGTGGGGTCCACAGTGGGAGGGGTGTCGCCGTGTCGTCCACGGAAATGAAGGGTTTCCCACTGCAAGGGCACACCCACCCCGATGTCTCAACCAGGGGGTCTATTTATCCAGGGTTAAGATTGTTGAAGTATTCCTTGTCAGGGAACCACCATGACCCGCATGTGGAGTGTTGACCATGAGACCGCCGCAACAACAGCGCTTGATGGCGATTGACGATATTTTTCAGTTTTGCACATTGATTCAGCCGTCCTCAACCTGACTTCAGCCTTGCATGTCCCCGCTTCGCTTTCTTCATTCGTGCATTTTCAGGTGCTCAGTCATCCACGGGCCCTATGCCTACAGTGCTCATACATATGTAGGCATGTTTACACAGGGCTGTGGCCTCAACCCTGCTCTGCACTCTTTCCCTTTGTCACGAGAGCTCAATTCTGTTGCATCTCAGACCCGCTTCAGAGGGTTGGCGGGTTTCAACCGCTGCTCACTTTCCGCGTGGTGGGTTGACTGCCTCCCGGTGCGCGGTGAGGCTTTGATGGATTGGTACTAGGTGGTAAGAAAATGTGCTTTTCACACGTGCGTCCAAACGGCACTCGTTGATCTCCAGGGGGTGTGCACCACTTGAGGGGCCACCGGCAATCCTGACTCCGATTTTGGTGTTTGCCGAGCGTTCGCTAGGCCGAAAGCTTCTTTCTGACAGTTCGGGTCTTGGGGCAGATGCCGCAGCCGGAACAGGCACTCCACCAAAGACTTTGGAGGCGCTTGAAACTTGTTGCAGTCATATTATCAGAAGGTCTTTTATGTGTTTCATTGCTTTTTGGTGTGAGTGAACATGGCAAGTGCATCAGACCACATTTGCCCTATCAGGCAATTCGCTCAGGTTAAATGGGTTCTGATCGCTTGCGCCAAATTTCGATCATCTGCATTCTAGAACCCGTGTGATAGAACCTTTCCAGGGTCAGTCAAGTTTCCTCGTGCTTCTTCGTCTTCTTTTTCTTGTTCTTTGATGTGCAAGTCTTTTCTGTCGATGAGTTGATATGCGAGCCTGCGTTCGGCCCACCCACCATGAGAGCACATTGGCCATTTCCAATTTATGATCCCCTTAAATGCAACGGGCCCTGCACATGTTCGAACGCTACCATTCGGCAACCAGAACATAGGGCTGCTCCCGATTTTTCCGGAAAATGCACTGAACCCCCGGTTTCCCCAGGTTTTTCACAGAAACCAAAGGCATGGGATTGTCTTGATATTGGTGAACCCGACATATACAGATGCTTCGATGATGTCTTTCTCCATTCTCATTAACTTCAAGATACACCCATGAAAGACATACCTATAGAAGTGTTTTTTTTCTTCAAGTGGTAGACCCGCTTTCTCCAGCTTTTGGTTAGCAGTAGGGAAACAGCCACGAAACCAACCGTGTCAAGAACAATTATGCAAAGGTCCCCCCCATATGTGGGTGGCCAACCGGATTTCGGGTTTCCTCGTGGTTCCCCTTTAAAAACCCACAAAGAACACTCTCCGAGTTCGTGGAATTTAACCTCTAGGAAGACACTTTCAGTCGTGAAAAAAACAGTTTGGACTATTTTGGCAAGTCCACTCAGGAGGTGAGGAAAGCACAGACCCATGTTGCATGCGGAAAGCTGAGGCTACCTGGTGAACTGCAACGCCGCGTGCCAGTGGTACCAGCAGACCACTCGCTTGGGCTGCGAGCTTCGGGCTTCTGCGGCGATGATGGCCACCTGGCCGTGGGCATTGTGCTTTTTGTAAGTCCGTTGTTTCCAACTGGTCAGGTTACCCTTGATTGGTGGGTTTGGATTGGTGGTTTGGATGTGATGTAGAGAATAACTGGGGTTTACCGCTTCGCTTTCCAAGCACCGAGCTCCAAACCACCAATTACTGGATGCTGAAGAGAGTTCATTTTCCAACTTTTCCCACAGGGATGGGTGAGGTGTTTTCCAAGCCCCCAGTTCAACACCCAGCTAAAGAGGAAACCTGTTGAAGCATTTGTATTTTCCCTGGTATGTACCTTTTACAAAAAAACAGATGTTGTTTCTTCCTCCTTGTTGTTTTGGCCCAGATAGGCTCCTGAGCGGCTCCGGGGTAGGGTTCCGCACAAGTTCCGAGGGTTGCTGTTGGGGATACTTGTTGGACGTGTTGTTTTCTTGGTATAAAGATTTGGGCAACGAGCTCAACTGGGTCAAAAACGAGCTTGCCCATTGTGAGGCTTGAGGAGTGTTTGTTTCCAGCCTGCGAAGTGTAGTGATTTACTCAAATGTTAATGACTGGAACAACCTTCAAAGGGGTTGTGCAGCCAAAGACCCATGCAGATGTCTTTCGTACGTGGGCGAGTGAATGAATGTAGGATGTTGGAAACTAAGGTACGAGCAGACAACCCCCACCGAACAAACATCCAGCACTGTGCTTCTTTGTAAGGCACACAGATGGCATGTTTCGAGGCGCTTTGGATTTGTTTCTCAGCACAGTGTTGTTCTTTACTGATACCAAGGTCTTGGATGATTGTGATGGTGTTTGCACTTGTTTTAAGAGGCATTGCTTCTCAGTGGCGTTCTTGTTGTGTGCAATAGTGTTTGTTAGTTCCCTTGACCAATGGCATCGCACCTCTTGAGTTGTCGCTCCAGCTGCAAGCAACTGATTTGTCATGCGGGGGTTGGGGTCCCTTGCCCTTGCCCTTCAGGTTTGGCTTTGCAGAGTGTGTGATTCCCCGCGACGCGACTCGAATTCCACCATGCTCACGCCCAAGCTAAGGTCTTTCGGCGAACTTTGCAACTTCATGTACAAGATACAAGCAGAGATGCAGCTCTCAATCTGATGCAGGCATGGGTTGGGATGCATGGACTCTTCGGAGCTGAACGTTTGTCCACAAATCTCGCACCAGTTGGGATGTACGACATCTCCTAAATACTGGTTGATAAACCACTGGATTTGGTCCATCCAGGCGGTTTGAGGCAATGTGGCAATCCATTGCCTTGCCAGGTGGATACAGAGCGCTTGTACATTTTCGCGCAGCTGAACCATCTCATTTACGTGGCGCCTCGGACGGCGCATTTTGCGCGAAGGAGATACATTCGCTTAAAGTGTGCGCCCTCGGGGAAGCCCACCAGTAGAATGTAGATGATTCTCATGGATACGGTGAAGCAAACATCGAAGAACGCTTCGGCCTCAGTCATTTTGAGCTCCAAGTATTGCAAACTCGTAGCAGAACCTTCCTGATAGCCTCATCTGGGTGTGTCTTTCTTCTGAACTCCGGGACACCCCCCCGAAGCAAAACACATGTGGTTTTCCTTTTTCCCTTGAAAACCACAAAAAGAAACAGTACCGTCAACAAAGGAAGACAACACATACAGAACATGTGGCCACTTTTGATCTCTGGTGCCTACTGTACATAGTATGGGCCTCAAAATGACTCGGTTGGAATTCAAACAAGCACCAAAAGGAAGCCAACCTTTTCGGGGCCACCATTTTATGAATTGATGCATGTGGCAGTGAGCGCGCAGCCGAACAGCATCCTGCTCTTCCACGATATAGATCTCGCGTGCTAAATAGTACATTGACTTTTTCATCAAGGAACAGGCTATTGACTGGTAAATAGTAGTAAGGGGTACTGGTGCTGGTAAAACATACTGGTAAATTGTACATGGGCTGGGTACTGGGGACAGGGGTGGATTTCTTTTTCCCAGTACCCCTTAGCAGTTGCATCCGAGGCGCTAGTCGTGGTGACTGTCACTCTGGTGTACCTGCCACCGGTCGGCACTGACGGACTCCACGTGTCAAGATAGGGATTCGGACCTTCCAACTTTCCTCGTGATTCCCTTTAGACCAACCCGAAACAGACCCTCAGAAAAAAGCAACACACACACACAGACTTTTGGTGGCAACTGTCAAAATCACGGGTACTCCAAGCTGACTTTGGGTAGGACATGGTTAACCCCCAATTTCAAAAGGCCCTAAGTATCCCACGCCTACTTGGGGAAGCATGTCATTTTGCCCTTCAGCTTATCGCCAAAGCCCTTTGTTCGCCGCGGGGATGTTTTGGAGAAATCCCCAGTATCCAGAGAGGGTTGAAGAGGTTCCGGAGAAGCTTTGGATAACTTCTGGAGAAAGGTTTGGAGAAGTTTTGGAGTTCCAGAGAAATTCTGGATAAATCCAGCGAAGCTCTGCAGCACTTTGAGGTGAGTGCTGAGAAGGTTCTGGGCACCAGGAGACAGTTCCAAGCACATTCTGGGGCCAAGTTTTGAGAAGATTTGATTGGGTTCAAAAAACGTTTTATGGAGAGGTTCCGTGCTGCTTGACCAACCTTGAACACATTTGGCCGGCGCTGTGGGGCTACTGTGAGCCATTTTCAAGCCTGGGAAAGCAAATGTCAGTAGAGGCCGAGGTCGGTGAATTCAGATAGGGAAACCTCTCAACACGGTCGTTTGACACAACTCCCCATGTTTTGCAATATATTTTGTTTGTTCCGTTTTTTTCCCAAACTAGTCCTTCCAACACAAGCCCGAACGGTTGGTTTTGTCTTTGCGCTCTAACATGAAAGGGGCTATATCAGCGGCTGGACTTTGACATGCTTTTGGTGGTGTCCCTTATTCCCACATCGTGCACCCCCTATCCAAACAGTGGGATTTTGTCGAAATAGGGGACCCAAGGTGAATTTTGGTGTTCCTTTTGGTTTCCCTCTAAAGACCCAAACAAGATACCCTCAGAAAGACACACCCGAAAGGGGCCACGCCCACCCCTCATATCAGGCAACCCCTAATTGGTGGTTTGGATGAGCTGTTTGGTTGGAAGCTGATTATAAGGAGTTCTGACCATCCAAACATTTGGTCAACAAAGTGTTCCTTGAAACAGGAAACACCCATATTAGCCCTAAAGATTTGCTCAAAATGGCGGATCCCCTTTTAGTTGATATTCAAAGGCGAACCAAAGCGACAGCCGAAACATTTTGGGAGTCCAACTTAAAGAAAGACCAGCCAACCATATGGGTGTGCCTTTCGTTTTTGAGGGACCCCCTCCAAGAGTTTGTTCATTCCCTTTAAACCAAGCCCGCGAAAGGTACCCTCGAACCGCCATCAGATGTCAGGACCGCCTACGAGGGCTTTACGGTGGCCGTGGTGGCGGTGGGGGTGCTGCTCAGCGCAGTGCTGCTGCAGACGTTGCTCAGCCGCTGGGCTGCGCCCAGACGTCGCCACATGCAGCAGCACCCTGGTTGGAGGGGGCATGGGCTCGTCGTTTTTGTAGTTGCTAGCCTTTCTTGGGTGGTTTTGCAGGGGAACAAAACGAAAACCACGAATTTGGGTCCCACTTAAAAGACGAAACGACACAGCCACATCTTACATTCTTGCCCTTGGCTACAATAAATAAATCCTAGATTTGGACCGACCAATATTTGACAGTTTCCGGGGGTAAAAATCACTAACTGGGTTGTTTCCCTTCAATCTACCACTTTCGGGGGCGATCTTAATAGTGGCAACATCCTGCACACAGACAGACACCGAGGCATAGGCACGCAGACACACAGATTCACAGACAAGCAACCGCACAGACTCCCACGCACGCAGACACAAAGACAAAGAGACAGACCAAGACATACACATGCACACACACACACACACACATCCACTCCTTTTAGGAAGCAAGTCGCTTCTTGACTTAGGCCACTTTAACTTCATGTTCTTGTCCAACAATTGTTCTCGCTTAGGAACGGCAGTGAGGCACTGAGCCTTTCCTTTGCGAGGTGTGCTGACGAGCGGATCTCCCTCATGGCCGAAATCCTGGACGTGGCTTGCTTGCCGTAGATGCACCGAGCCGGCGGATTTCCGGGAGCGGATAGGGCGCCTTTTCAAGGGCACGGTCTTCTAGGAAACGGCTTGGATGCGGTTTTGGTGGATCCACCCCTGTAGGATAGCAAAGGAAACCTAAAAGAGTATTGACAAATGGGGATTCCCAAAAAATCCCGACGCCAAGTACCAAAAACCAACTATTAAAACCAAAAGAACACTTGATAAGACAACATGGTTTTGAACCACAGAAAGCCTCCTCCCGAATGGCTCCATGATGGCGACCGGTGCCAGGTCTCACGGCTGCTTGACGGGAAACCTGGCTGATTGCTTGCCTGTCGATAAACATAGAGCGACGAGAAGGTTCTTTTCTTGGGCAAGAGGACCATCCGTTGAGGAATCCTTTGGAATCTTCGACATTTTTACCGGAATCTCCAAGATGGGATTCCCCTCGCTGTCAGGCAACCGCTCGTTGGTTTGGATTGTTCGGGGGTTTCAACCCGGAACATCTACTCTGATTTGAGAGTAGGTGGCTCAAAAAATTGGGGGGGAGTGCCATCTACTATTGACAAACGGAGATTATCAATTATCGGAAAATTATCGGAAATGTTCTGGCCAGAGTAGATGGCACAACTCTTTTTGGTTTTCTGAACACCCGGCTTGGGTGGCTGTGGCCAAGGACTTTTTTTTTCTCGTACGAATATGCAATTAAGTGGTGGCAACACTAGATTTAGGGGCAATACCAAAGTTGGTGCTGGCAAAACTAAATTGATACTAACAATACTACATTTAGTCCTGGCAATACTAAATTTGGTTCTAGCTGTTTAAAGTGAGTACTCGGAGGATTCGCTTGGCAACGCGCGTGCACTTTCAAAGTTTCCAGCTTTCCGTAGACCGCCTTTGCGGGGCATACGCAAAGATAACAATATGAAGCCTGGCACAAACAGTAAGACATTTGTATAAATTTGTATTGGCAGTACTGAAGCTAGTGTTTGCATGCTAAATCTAATACATGTTACATCAAGTACCCGTAACATTAAACTTAGCATTGTCAGCACTAATTTTGGTACACTGGCAAATATAGTTTCCTTTGCAACAAATACATGTACTGGCAACATGAAAGTTGCTCATTTTTCCGGGCAAGGGCTTCGGCGCGAGCCGGGCCAGAGCAGGAAGGGACCACCCAACTTACGCTCTGCCCCTCTGCCATTACCAGCCCCTTTATCGCCCCGGCTCCCCCGGCTCCGGCCCAGCTCCGGTCGAAGGCTCAGAAGCAGAGTTGCGCCATCTACTTTTGTCAACAGCGCCCAACTTACGCTCTGCCCCTCTGCCATTACCAGCCCCTTTATCGCCCCCCCCCCGGCTCCGGCCCAGCTCCGGCCGAAGGCTCAGAAGCAGAGTTGCGCCATCTACTTTTGTCAACAGCGCCCAACTTACGCTCTGCCCCTCTGCCATTACCAGCCCCTTTATCGCCCCGGCTCCCCCGGCTCCGGCCCAGCTCCGGCCGAAGGCTCAGAAGCAGAGTTGCGCCATCTACTTTTGTCAACAGCGCCCCAACTTACGCTCTGCCCCTCTGCCATTACCAGCCCCTTTATCGCCCCGGCCCCCCCGGCTCCGGCCCAGCTCCGGCCGAAGGCTCAGAAGCAGAGTTGCGCCATCTACTTTTGTCAACAGCGCCCAACTTACGCTCTGCCCCTCTGCCATTACCAGCCCCTTTATCGACCCCTCACCCCGGCTCCGGCCCAGCTCGGCCGAAGGCTCAGGAAGCGCGCCATCTACTTTTGTCAACTTAGCCATCGCCATCACGGCTAGGCGCTACTTTTGTCAAAAGCTCTGCCTCTGCCATCACCAACCCTGCGCTCACCCAGCTCATCGACCCGGCGCCGGCCGAAGGCTCAGGAGGGTTGCGCCATCTACTTTTGTCAAACAGCACCCAACTTACGCTCTGCCCCTCTGCCATCACCAGCCCTGCGCTCACCCAGCTCATCTCCCCCGGCTCCGCCCAGCGCCGGCCGAAGGCTCAGGAGGCGCCATCTACTTTTGTCAACAGCCCCGGCTCCGCCCAGCGCCGGCCGAAGGCTCAGGAGGGTTGCGCCATCTACTTTTGTCAACAGCGCCCAACTTACGCTCTGCCCCTCTGCCATCACCTGCCGTGCGCTCACCCAGCTCATCGCCCCGGCTCCGCCCAGCGCCGGCCGACTTTTGTCAACAGCGCCCAACTTACGCTCTGCCCCTCTGCCATCACCAGCCCTGCGCTCACCCAGCTCATCGCCCCGGCTCCGCCCAGCGCCGGCCGAAGGCTCAGGAGGGTTGCGCCATCTACTTTTGTCAACAGCGCCCAACTTACGCTCTGCCCCTCCGCACCCAGCCCATCACGCCCCACCTCCGGCGAAAAACTCAGGAGCGTTGCGCCATCTCTACTTTTATCAACAGCGCCAACCTGCCCCTCAACCTTCGTTTTGCCCCTCTGCCATCACCAGCCCCTTGCGACCCCTGGCTGCGCCAGCTCCGGGCGAAGGCAGAGGAGCAGGGTTGCATCTTCTTAGACAGCGCCCATCGCCCCAGCCCTGGTTCAGCTCTGGTCAAAGGCTCAAGCAAGGTTGCGCCAGCTACTTTTGCCAACAGCGCCCAACTTACGCTCTACCCCTGAAGGCTCAGAGCCATCTAGTTGTCTCAACAGCGCCCAATTTAAGCTCTGCCCCTCTGCCATCACCAGCCCCTTCATCGCCCCTTTGCCATCACCAAGCCCTTGCAATCAGTGCCCAACTTATGCCATTACTTTAAAAAATGCGCCATCACCTTTATTTTGCCGGGTCGGAGGGGACAGGCCAAATGCGTCGGTCAGTCAGGACAGGGTCGATAGGTTGTGCCGCACCCCTTTATGCTTGAAGGGGGGGTGAGTGCCACGACCTTTCAGTTCGACATCCGAAAAAAGGATTTTGACTCAACGACCAGGAAACAAACCAATTCTTGGCTGTCAAAAGTAGATGGCGCAGGTTTTTGAAACGCATGATTTTTGTCAATAGTAGATGGCTCCGTTCCAGCTTTTAGGAAGACTAGCGCCATCTACTATTTATAAACGACCCCGCGACCCGACGTGCCATCTACTGTTTTTTGCAACTGGGTTTGAGCCATCTACTCTCAAATCAGTGTAACCATCAAGGCTCACCACTGGGCTCAACTTGCTGGTGCGATAGGTAGGGAATGACCGAGTCAGGGTCTTGGGAATGAACCTAGGGATTCCCTTCCCAGTCGATGGGGGAGGCTGGAGAAGGACAGCGAAACATGTTTCTCTTTCGGAAATGGAAGCCACTGGCCTGGTTGGCGCTCAGAGCTTAGGCAGTGCGGGTCTTGAAGATGTACGGCTGGACGCATCCGCTGCAAGCCAGAGTGGAGGACGGTGAGTTTGCTTCCGAATGGGTCGAAGGATTGGGGGGTGCTTGACAATTCTGGCACCTGAAAACAGGGATGAAGGCTTGTCTCAACAAAATGTGGAGTTGGTTTGGGGAATCCAACAAAAGTGGACAAAGGGGTTACTGACAACAATTAATAAAAGCCGGACATATCTTAACGGAACGGAGCTGGTTCACCAGGCAAGGAAAAGCCTGCCCCCAGAGAGGTTTGCCCAACCCTGGATTGTTTTTAGGGCTCGGTTGGATGATTCACATGGAACGCCCCCCCAAACAAAAGGAAGAACTGATGTTCAGAGGTTGCAAAGCTTGGCCGCTGCGGTTTCCCTTGTTGGAAGTCTCCGGCGGATGCCCATTGCGTGGAGTCATTGGCAAAAACATAGAAGGTACCTGCAAACCGTGCCCTCTATGTGGGTCGCTTGAGTGTACATGCAGCTGTCCTTCCGCATAAATGTAAAGTCGCAACTTGTGAATGTCATGAACGCTTCACTCATCTACCATGTGCGTCTTGAGTTTCTGCCATTAGATTGGCAATGACAGTTTGCCTTAGGGCCTCAAGCTTTTGCTGCTCATTCAACCAGTCTTTGGAGGATGCCCCCGCAATCAGTACACACTGAGAGTCTTTTCATTCAGCCCGGCCTCTCTTCCACAGGCCGAGCAGACGGTAGTTGCTGAGACCATGCGTCTGTGTCCCGGCCTTGCTGTTCTTGCTGCACTGAAGCCATGTTCCAAGGTCCTTGTTCATGGCATCCGGCTTCTGTGTCGCCCACTCTTTATTGCTGTTTCATGGAGGTGTTATTACCCAGCCACACTCACACTCACACCCATCAACTCATAGCAATGTCAACTACGGATTGATCCGGCGGACTGCACTCAATTCAGTGGTGGTTGCCCTTTAAGTAAGGACATGATCCATTTCAGGAGGATTCCTTTCCGTTTTTGATTGATCCAAAGTGAACATCAGCCCATGGAAAACCATTGTGTTTCCTCTCGGCTTTTACCTCCCTTCCAAAAAGGCCTTACCCAAACTGGGTTTTGCATTTTCTAAATCCTAGAAAAGACAAGCCACCCATACCCTGTGCATGAAGGCGCAAAACCAGTTGCCTTGGGCCAAAGGGACTTGACTGGGGATCGGTCCTGTCACTCCAATTTTCGGGCGAAAATGGACTTAACATGCCTGCCTAGAGGATACTAAAGGTCGAGACCTTTTCTTCACTCCAGATCTCCCGAAAGCTTCCTGTTGCTTCCGCGTATACGTTGCATTTGCTTTGGTTTTCTCACTGTCCAGGTGTTTCTCATTTTTGCTCTATGGGACGTCTCTTCTTTTCGGACTCCAGCTCCGAGAGAAAACAAAAGGAAAAACAAGAAGAAACAGCTCAGTGGTTTCCATGGGCCTTCAGGAGATACGTCACCGGGAGCTCCGGAGCGCCAAGGGGTATTTGTGCATCAGGGCCTTCAGCAGCGCTTTGCTGTGCCCAGGTTTTACGGGAGCGAAGTCGAGGGGTCGAGGATGTCGGGGGGGGGGCCGGGGGAAGATTTTCCGCCCCGGCTTTTAGTCCAGGGTCCGCTTGGCTCGTCTTCCTTTGTAGGTTGGGAATTGTGTTGTTTCGTGGGGGAATGAAACGGACACCTTGGACATTTTGGGGGGTCCGAAGAAAAGGACTGCTTGGAGCTCCTGGAGGCGGAGGGCCGAATTTAGCGATGATCTGATTGGAGAAATCTGTGGGACGTCGATCGGAAGGTGACCAAAGGACCTGCAAAGAGGATAGGGAAGTCTCGATGGGTCCCGTTTCTTGGGTTAGGCGCCGTACTTGGGGCAGGTTTGACCAATAGCCTGATGCAAGGCAAGCAACTCTGTTCACATGTGTTGCAATGCTCAGGAGCTTTCCAGAGGCATTCTCATGGTGCCACCTTGCAAGATAGAATAGCGACATGTTTGGGTTTGGAAGTCAAAATGATGCCTGTCATTTGCATGGTTATACAATCGGCCACTGTAGTTTGATTCAAATGCTCGGTTTTGATCCTACTCCAAATGGTTACAATAGGTACCTTTTGGTCTCTCTTCAAAGCACCCAGTTCTCGCTGGACGTACGCAGAGCGTTGTAAACATTGGCAGACTTGTCCTGAGGGGTGTGAAGGTTTGGACCCTGCTTTTCTCAGTCTCGCAGCCACTCCAAGTTGCAAGACGATCTTTAGTGGGGGCTGAGCTAAACTCCCATGCGCAGTGTTGGGGGAAAAGAAAGGTGCCAAGGATACTGCTTTGGACCCTTCATGTCAAGCTCCATCGGTGCAATATCTCCCTCTTGCAACTGCGGTCAGGGGATTCGAATCCCCGGGGCATGGTCAATGGGATTCGTGGATGCCAGGGTTTCCAGGTTCCCTGGCTACGAATTTGGTTGGGGAGCAGCGTCTGAATGATCTCCATATTTTTCGCAAAACTGATACAGCATAGTATTTTCCCTTCCGGTGATTTGGAACATCACAACTTGGCGGCCAGCTTTTTTGGGTTCCAGAAAGGGAACCCGTCGTCGGCATCCGACGTGGATGCCGATGTGGACGGCGAGGTACTGCTCACCCTTCCTTTCCATGCTCGCGGTCCTCGCAACCTTGCACCTGCAAGACAAGGAGTCTTATGGTCGACGTTTCTCCGCTTTTGAGTGTTTTTGTTTTTTTGGGGGGGAGGTTGGGGGGGGGGGGTTTGGGGAGGGTACGGGGAACACGGGGTGTTCCCCGTCTCAGGAGCTGTCGGCGGAGCGGGTGTTTCTGATCTTCACCACCATCGGGCTCTCCAGGGCCCCGCTGGGCGGGGTGGCCATGGGCTTCAGCGCCGTGGTGGACGCTCGCGAGAAACGTCGCGAGAAACGTCGCTGGGAACCACCAAGGCGCGTCTCAAAGGAGGGGATCTTCCCCCCAAAAAAAGCCAAACAACGGAGGTGATGTTTGTGGCTGTGGGTCAAAACCAGGGCGATCCCATTTTGGGGTTTTCGGCGCGCCACCCATTTTTAGAACCTATTTTAGGTGGGGATTGGGAAGTTCACTGGGGGTAGAGGGGTGTTGACCAATGGCCAAGTCTCCGAAGTGGGTTAGAACCAGGCTTACTCACCACTTACTAAGTACTCAGCCCCTTTAGGTAGGGTCACTATTGGTGATCTTGCATCCTGAGTTGAGGTTATAGTTTTTCACCGTTTCAGTGGTTTTCACAAACAGTTCGGACCCTTTTTTTTTGGCCATGCGCTTTTTACCCAGAAGCAGTAGTACCCCAGAATGCTTGGTTTCCTTTTGGTTTTCTTTTGGTATCCTCTTGGCTTCCTGTTGGTTTGATTTACAGGGTACTGCTGGATGCAGTATAAAATTGGTTCCCCCCACTCGTATTATTTTTGGATAGAAATGATGAAAGGCACTTCTGGGCTTGAGGATGTCTCAGAAAAGAAACAAAGGTAGACTGAACAAGAATCAAAAGTATGATTTTTGGTGTACCCCAACTCGTAGCTTTTGCCAAGCTTGAACCTGGGCGTTGGATTGGTTTGTCACAGTTTCCCCGAATCAAAATGCTACACCAAAAGGTGTGTGTCCTTTTGAGGGTACCTCGTTTTTGTGGTTCTAAAGGGGTCTCCTCAAAAGAAGAGAGATGCAGCCACAGGGCATAGGTGTCCTTTTCGGTTGTTTTGGTAGAAACATAGATGGCCCTGGTTAACCTGGTGGTTCAACCATCTACCAGGGAAACCCATCTATTTCCCCTAAAAGGACACCTATGCCACGGATCGATCCGGAGGATGGTGTCGCAGCCTTCCGAAGACTCAGCGCCTTCGTGGCGGAGAAAGGCGGGGGAGACCCGGGGAGCCGCGGGGCGGGTGGCGGGTGGCGGGGAGGGCGGCGGTCCGTTTGGGTCAGGACTTTGACGGTTTTTGGGGAGACTTTTTTGGCCGGGGGGGGGTTTCAGTCACCGAAAATCCCTCAGTTTCCGTGATGGCCTGCAGAATGGGGTCAGCATGTTGTTTCTTGGGTTGTTGAAGTCAACGATAGGTTCCCTTTGACTTGCCACGAGGCGTTGATGGAGAAATCCGTGAGTCCAGTTAATTACTGTACAGGGAACGGATTGGAACGGCAAGTTTGAAGGGAATGCCGGGCTGGGATGTTCCTATTGCAAACACGGGCTTGGGTTGTTTCCCAATGAATCAAAGGACGCCAAACAGGTTTTTAGGTCCTTTTACCGTGACCTATGATTCTTTATGGGTTGCAGGAACTCCCCACCGAATGAGCTTTGACGGATAATGCCGCTGCGGCATCTTGAAGGTTTGGCCTCGTGCTTACAGTCCGTAGCTTACTTGGCGGGTAGGCATGCCCTTAGACACTTAGCGAGTTTTCTTTGCATGTTTGTGAGTTTGATTTGTGCAACCCGCAGGCCAATTCGACATCTACCAGAGGGACATTGGAGACGAGAAGCTGCAGGCTCCGGTCTCAATGGGACTGCATGGCAGCTTCTCTCATGGGTACCAGACTGGCATCACGGCAGACTTTGACCTGAAGCCAGGCACGTGTCGACAGATGCCTTCCTGAGGTGGTGAATCCCGAACGGTTATCGTTCAGGTTCTCCAGACCTGTTTGCTTTGCAACTTTGCAAGCTTGTTGCCACAACAGACTCTCTTAAGATTGCGCTGGATCATTTTCTACTACGAGATTCTATGGACAAATGCCAACGCGCGTGTGTGTGTGTGTGTGTGTGTGTGTGTTGAAGGTTGGTTTAAAGGGATTGCAAAGGGACCACTATTCGGGGTTCCAATTGTTGCTTTTGACGCGAGGTACGCCCAGTTTCGACTGCGAATTCTTCATTTGTGTATGTGTGTGTGCTTTTTGAGGTACCCTTCTCAGAAAACTTGCAACATAGGATTCCTCTCCCATTTTTTGGTGTTCTCCCTATTTGGAAGCACACACACGCACATCCATGTCGCCCCTGAGGCGGTTTGGTTGCTTTGTGTGGCCGGGTGGCTTCGGGCAAGTCCTCCTTGCTGCTGGCCATGCTGGGGGAGATGCGAAGAATTGGGGCCGTGTCTGTGCCAGGCACGGGTGATATGGGGGGGGGGGAACACGTCAAACAAGGTTGACCCCGCAAATGTCTCCTTTGACTTTGTGGATGGACGAGACGTGATGAAACCCGATGAATACCGGGATAAACCTCCCAACTGGTCCTCCACAGGTCTTACCCGAATTTCCCCGTGAGTTACATTCATTTCAGGATCAGATTTTGTCAAAGGCCAAAATGCCTCTTGGTCCGTTTGTCTTTTTTGTTTGTACTAGGGACAAGAAACAACATTGCCGAACTTGTTTTGGAACTTTCCTCCGAGAATCTCCAGGCTTTTCTCCGAAGACCTGTCCTGGCATCCCGGCAGGCGGAGACCAAAGCGGCGTGGCGTATTTGCCCCAGAGCCCCTGGATCCGCAGCGGCAGTGTGCGAGAGGCCGTGGTGCAGGACCTGCCCTTCGAGAAGAAGCAGTATTGGCGGGGGAAGGGGGGGGCACTTTTGAGCGTATTCTTTTTTGGGAGAGGGGGGGGGAAGGGTATTAAAGAAGTCCAGAAACAGGTGTGGTGTTTTTTTCTTTTGATCTTGGTGGTTAAGGGGAAACAAAAGGGAAACCGAAGCCAATTTTAGGGTGGGGGTCTTCTGACACGCATAGAGTTGTTGATTGCACCCTCCCACCTTTTTGTACTTTTGCACAGAGAGACAGCCTCAAACAAGCACATCTATATGACCATTCTGGCCATGGTTCACGTGACACGCACATGCGCCTCTATAAAGCTTGAACACCATATTGGAACCAAATGTCAATGGGTTTGGGCACAGCTCTCAAAAATGGGGGACTCATTCAGGTTGGTTTGGTTTTTCCCTTCACATCCGTCCCAACAGGGGACCACTATTTGGAGCAACTCACATATCTCTAGGGGTTGATTCCCCATTCTTTTCAACCATGGTTCTTTTCGAAAACCAGCTGTTTCCCATGGTTGTTTGTGGTCTTCTAGAAAGAAGGATCCCTGGAAAGAATGGGGAAGCTACCCTTAGAATATCAATATCCACCTACTTCAGCTGTGTACATTCGCCACGGCTCTTGTCTCTCACACCCCGCACCTTTTGCGAGGCGTGCGCTGCGGGCTGCGCAGCTGCTGCCGGACCTGGCCATCTGGGGCAACGACTCCCACCCCGTGGGCGCGCGCGGGGCGACGCTCAGCGGGGGCCAGCGGACCAGGCGGGGTGGCAACCGAGCGTCGCCGGGTTTTTTGCGGTGAGGGGAGGAGGACGGCGCCGAAACCCCAACGATCGTTTTTGGGGTGCAGAAGAGGAACAAGTCAAATGGAGGTTAAACAGTGAGTTTGGGGTTGGACAAGATCCGTGAGTGTGTTGGCCGGGATGGTGCCCTAGACTGCATGAATTTTCCAGCGCACTGCACGGGTTCTTGGGAACGGGGACAAGCCCTTGTTAGACTTATAGGAAAAATGTACAGACAATTCCAAGAAGACGTGGGATGGCCTTCGCCTCTACAACTTACAGCCTTAGTTTAATTTGACGACCATATGAAAACGACTTCTACAAAATGCAGCTGATTCCTCCTGAGGCATGCCAAGCTTGTCGTGAAGCACTCACTGTGCGCATGGACATTGAGCGATAGACCGCTTCTCGCAGAGTTGGTTCGAACCAGATTGAGTTTAGAAGGGTCATGGGCCCAATCATCCTCAGATTGAGTTTAGCCATGGACGATGGCTGTGCCGTGGTTGGCCGATCTATTTTGCTCTGAGCCTTCAGGTCGTTCCAGTGACGACGCGCTTGGCACATTTGGACTGGCCTTCGTATGCCTTCGTGTCTCCTAATCAGTTCTGCTTTGTGGATGCCTTTTTCAAGATATTGTTCGTCTGGGCTCAGTGGCACCTACGTCCAGAGGCTCATCCTGAAGCAACATTTGCGTTTCTTTAGAGTTTGCGTTGTTTGTTCCGCAAGTGTTTTCCGAGCCCGACGAGGCGTCGTGGCCTTGGTGGAAAACAGGCCATTTGCTTCACTCGGGCTCATCGCCCCTGGGAAGTTGGGGGGGGTTTCGTTGTTTTGGTGGCCCTCCCCTCGTTTTGGTTTCCCTGGATGGGTTCGATTGCTCCAGTTCTGCATTCTCTGAAGTTGCTTGGGCTCTTGATTTGGTTTGTCGACTGCTGTGAGTCACTTGCTTGACAACGCATTTCATGTTGCAGTATGTACTTGAGCTTTGCAGCATGGCTTGCATGGTTGAGAAGGAAAGACGAACGCCTCCAGCTGTTTGGGCTTGGGGCGGAGGGACCATGTCACATGTCCCACACACAGGAAAGTGCTTTGGCCGAATTGTGGCGGCGCTTGCGCCAGCATGGTCTGCAGCACTTGGCCCCTATGCTGCTGGCAGTTGGAGTGCGATCCATCTCAGATTTGGTGATTAAATCCGCGAGTCTGTTGGATGCAGGCATGAAACACTGGCAACTTGAACTGTTGCTTTGCTCGCCAGAACGTGACCAGGCAGAGGGTTCTGGGCTGAGGAGCGACCTGCCTCGTGTTCAGCCCATGCAGCGGGCGTCCTTGACCCTGGCCCTGGAGGCGGCCCAGGTGAACTGCAGGAAGAGAGCTTTGCAGGCTCTCGATGCAGATGTTTTGGCGAGGTCCACTCGGCCGGCAGTGGAATCACGCGTGCGCACTTACGAAGCATTGTGCCATGCTTGGGAGGTTGCCCCTTGGCCGATCTCTATTCCTAGCATTCGGGCTATGTCAGCATCCTTGAAGGCGGGTCACTACCGCAGTGCCCCTTTGTATTTTCAAGCAGTTGTGGGACATCAGCGTCGGGCCCTTGGACTGGCGCTGCCGGAGCATCTTCGTGCTGTTATTCGTGATGCGCTGCGTTCGGTGCTTCGCGGAATCGGGCCCGCTGCTCTCAAAGACAGTTTTGACATGAGGGTGCTGGTCTCACCAACGGCTCACCTGCGGGACACGAGTGTAGCCTTTTCGATGGACAACTTGGACCATTGCACCGATTTATGCGTCCTAGCATCCTGGTTTATGCTCCGCGAGATTGAGCTGTCAGGTGCCCGTGCATTTCACTTGTACGAGGGTGACCAATGTATCAATTTGATGCTTCCTACCCATAAGACTGATGTAGTTGGGCAGCTCACTGTTCGGTCCCTTGGTTGCGCATGCCGGGTACAGTTACACCCCCTTTGTCCTTTTCACGCTGGGCGACGCCATTTGGCCCGCCTTCGACTTCATGCAGGTCAGCGCAGCGGCCGGGATGCGCCCCTGTGTCCGGACGCAGGCGGGCAGACTCCCACCAAGCAGCAGGTGGTCGCGATGATCCAGCGAGTCCTTGCTGGCCATGGTGTTGACCTGATGCGGACTAACCAGGACGGGCGCGGTGTGCCACGTTTTGGTGGTCATGTCCTTCGAGTCAGTGGCGCGCAGTTCCTTGCTGCAGCAGGGGTCCCGCGCGACTCGATACAGCTCCTGGGGCGTTGGGCCTCTTCTGCAATTGATCGGTACATTCAGCAGGCGCCGCTGCGGGCTGCAGTGCCGAATTTACCTCACCAGGTATTGAGCGGCTCCTTGCTGGCCATCCCATCGTCTGGGCCTGCCACATCGACATCGGGCCCAATCCTCGCAGGCGCCGTCTCGCCAGAGACAAACCGCTTGTCAAACGAAGTCAAGAACTTGCGACTTGGCCTTCAAGAGGCGCAGAGCAGCTTGTCCGCTTTGCAGGCAGCCGTGAGAGCACCTTCAGTTCGACTCGTTGTTCGCAGACGGGCCACCATTGTTCATTTGGCAGACCCGTCAGAACATGACACTGAACCTTCGCAGTGGCGCACTCCGTGTGGATGGAGCTACGGCTTGGCTTCTTTTTTCCGGGTACCTTCAGTCGCCTCGCGACACAGGCAGTGTCGGAAGTGCTTTCACATTCAGTCTGATGCTAGTGACTCTTCCGAGGAGGGGAGCTCAACGTCCATGGGGGGATTGTCGTCCGATTGCTCATCTGGCTCGTAAAAAAAAAGGAGGTGGCGCAACCGGCGCATGTGCATTTGCAATTTGCTGAGACTCAGGTCATGTCGAGCCTTGTGTGTGTGTGGGGTCTTGTTGTTGTGTCTGCTTTGGTGTTTCGTGGATGCTTGCGGCCAGCAAGGTTTTGGCTTTTAGTTTTGGTGTGGGGCCAATGTCGGCCAACGCAGTGCAGTTGGTAAACCCTTTCGGCTTCGACACCCTTGCTGAGCTCTCGCATGTGGCGGGCGCTGGCAGGGACATCACGAGTTATCTTGAGGCCAGAGGCATTCGCACCATTGCAGCACTCGCCCTCATTGCAAATGATGATGCGGGTTTGGAGAAAAACCTCCTAGCACCATTGCTGAACGGCTGGAAGTCTGGCCAAAACGAGATTGTCATCCCAGATCTCGAGCAGCCGCTAGCCAAGGCTATCTTGACCCACATGTGGACTGAAGCCAATCTGTGGTGGCAACATCGGCAACGGCGCCTGACCCTGGCGACTTCAACTCCTTCGGCTACGGCGCCTTCAGGCAATGCTTCCACTTCGGCGGCGTCCGCGTCTGATGACAGACCACCTAGGACATTGCCGCTGGGGATTTGGGCAGCGCAGATCAAACGATATAATGAGGTGGAGGTGGGTGGTCGGACTCGGCAGTTCCCGGAGCGGGAGCTCATCGGAGCTGAAGCCACCCTGGCTCGTTTGTGGCATGAACACACAAAAAGCAAGCAGTATTGCCCCGTCCCGTTGGGGGACATCCTGTCCAAGAGGCATTTCCAATCCACCGGTGAGATCAACCCACTGGCCAAGCAGGAGCGCAAGGTCATGGCCGTCACCATGGACAATGACAAGCTCATGGCCGCCGAGGACAGCAAGGTTGCTTGGGAGCCCCGCTCCGTGCTGGCTATGCTGGATGGCGTCAATTCCATCAGGTGGGCTTACGTCCTCTTGGAGATTGGCGAAGAGGCTGATGTTCACCAGTGGGCTGATTGGTTTTCCGCAAAGGTTCGCTCCCGCATGAATAAGCTCGACAACTTGCGTCTGTTTTGGGAGGCGCAGTCATGGCAACTATGTCTCAGCCTCCGACGAGGGCAAACCTCTGACCTCGGCCATCGCCGAGGTCATGTCCGATGTTGATTTGTTCCATGACTACATGTCTCGTGACCTTGTCAAGAAGGAGAACCCCAACACTCCGCAGAAGCGCAAATGGTCTGATGCCCAGGCCTGGCCAACCAAGGGTGATGGCAAAGGACCGCGCAAGGGCGCGCGACCAGGGACAGACCGTCGATCTTCTTCATGGACGCCCTCCTCGCCTACTTGGTCTTCAGGCGGTCGTCATTGGCAACGGTCTACGCCTGGGCATGGTCAGCAGTCTTGGTGGAGCTCTGGCGACAAGGGGTGGCGTGACCATTAGGGACAGCACGGGGCCGTTGACCTCCGGCCAGCGGTACCCGACCCATGTGCATTGGTACCTTGGACAGAGCCTTTGTCCATCAATGGGGGTAGCATCATCCTTCTCTCCTTTTTCGATGGCATCGCTACAGCAGCGGTGGGGCTGGAGCATTTGGTTGGGACCCCACGGCTGGCTTTAGCATGGGAAGTGGACCCGGATTGCTTAGCTGTGAGTTCACACCGC